AGGTTAATATAGACTCTGGTTTGGTGCCAGTGCTGAGCCTGAAGTAAAAGTCTTAGAGCAAACTGAGGCCAGCTGCAGCCTGCCAGTGTCCTGTGGACTCTGATAGATTTTCAAGAAAGGTGAAATGTGGGCAGGGCTGGCTGCTCATGCACGAAAGTGCCTCCAGCATTGGGGGAGTTGGGTGAGGCAGGGTCCCAGTTAGTCAGCATAGTGGGGGGTCAGAGCTCACCAGGTTGATCAGATTCAGATTTGGCCCTATAGGGGAGGGCTCCACACAGGAAAGGTGGAGCCTGCCTGCACATTGCATGGGAAAAGGACCCCACACAGGGAAAATGATGACTGTCCTCCAGCCCTCAGCTTGAAGCCACACACCTCAGTCTGTGCCACCATAAGTCTCTATTGCCCTTGGAGTCACGGTCCCTCTGCTAGAGCCCAAGGTGAGTATCTGCAAGGGCGTGAGTCTGTGTGTAGGCTGTTTAAGAGGACACCTGGGTTTTCTGCCGCTTTCCACCCTACCTGGATGGTCAAAATCCCCACTGTTTTTCACAGCCAGATGTTGTGGGGGCTCCTCTTCCTGGCACCAGTAATTTGGGCTGGGGAGGGCCACGTGAGGCTGGGGTCTCTTACTTCTCTGGGGGGAATCTCTGTGGCTGAGATAGCTCTCCCGATTCTCAACAGCTACGTGAAGGTTTGGGGCCAGCCCGTTTTGTGTCTCTGCCCCTCCTACTAGTCTTGACGTGGCTGCTTCTTTATATCCTTAGTTATAAAACTTCTGTTCAGCTAGAATTCAGATGGTTCTCCAGGTTGATCGTTCTATAATTTAATTGTAATTTTAATGTGTTCACGGAAGGAAACATACACAGTGTTTATCTACTCCATCATCTTGGATCTCTTCTCTTATTTTTTAATTCTTAAGACATCCTTTATTGTTGCAGTCATAAGGCCCATGTGCTCTATGCATCAAATATTTAATATTCAATAGATCAGAGTTTGGAATAACAAAAGGTTGTATTTATCGAAATGGGGTGAGAAATGGGAGATTTCTAGTTTTCTCAAATCCATTTCAAGAGAGTCCAGAATTTAGGCTTCTTTTATGTCAAGGGAAGGCTGAACGGGTGGGGAAAGAGGTATGATACAAGGAAGAGCAAGGAAATCTCCAAATCTGTTTGTTCTCAGTGGGTAAAGACCAGAAGTTATTCAAGTTTCAGGCAGAGCTCCTCCAGTCAATTAGCATGCCTATAGAAATGCAGGCAGGAATTAAGGTGGAGTCAGGGAGAGAAGCATTTAACCCTGTTACATTTTTTTTTTGTTCATCCCTCAATCTTGAGGAAAGTAGGGCAACTTGGTCTAGGCTCAATCAAGAGGGAGGATTAGCTTATAAGAAGGAGTCAGATTGGTCTGCTAATTGTGTCCCTCTTACAGTCTTGCACGTCCATCTCTTCTGGTCCGTGAGCCTTTCAGGGGGCATTCTGGGTGTTCAATTTACAAACAGAGACCACAGCAATGGTAGAAGAAGCAGTAGGTCAGGATATCTGTATGTTAATATGAGACAAATAAAAGATAATGAAGGTAGGCAGAGACAATCCAACAGATTCTCCTGGTCTGCAGTTTGAATTTCTCTGATGATGTCATCAGGTAATCAGGACAGTTCTTACATTATCAGACCCTGAGATCATCCAAACATGAGCTGTCATGACAATTTTCCCCAAATTTACATTATGTCATCAAGCTGCCATCTGCAACTGCAAGGCTCAGAAAAAAACAGGTTTTTTTTNCTCCACAACTAGACTGAAGAACAAAACGACAGCAACTTGTCTGTTCCCCTTCCCCCAATTCCCCAGCGCTGTTCCCATCCCCCCAATTCCCCAAGAAAAATCTTTAAAAAAAAAAAAAGTTAAGAATCCCTTCTTTGAAATATGGTCTTCTTACTATTTTACAGACACTCAATAATTTGGTCCATATCTTAGCTTCCACTCTTCTATGAAAGAAACATGAACAAAAATGAATACTTGGGAGTTCGGTGTCTCATGAAACGAACTGCAGTTAGCATTCAAAGACAAGGGGAAGAGAACCGACAGCTGCTGAATCCTACTGTATGCCAAGTGCTTGGGCATTACATTACCTCATTCATCTTCACAACTCTGTAAAGTGGGTATTACTGTTCCTGTTTCACAGATGAGAAAACTGAGGCAAAGAGGTTAAATAACTTGCTAAAGCCACACTATGGGGTGAAGCCAGGAATCTAACCCAAGTCTGTCTCCAAAGACCACACTTTACCACTAAGCTAGAAAGCCAGATTGGAGTTCTCAAATTTTAGAGTGCCTCAGAACTACCCGGAGGACTTATTAAAACAGATAGCTGGTCCCCACCCTAAGAGTTTCTGATTCAGCAGGTGTGGGGTGGAGCTCAAGAACTTGCATGTCTAACAAGTCCCTAGGTGATGCTGCTGCTGCTGGTCAGGGCATCATAGTTTGAGAAGCAATGCCATTTATTCATTCAAATATTTATTGGGTGCCTAACATATGACAGGAGCAAGGAGTATCACATTTTAGACCCTAGGGCAATAGTGGAGAATAAGACAAAGTTCATGCCCTCATGGATCTTTCATTCTATTGGGAAAATTTGACAGAAAACAAGTGTTAAAAAATGTGCAAATGCCAGGTAACAAATTCTATGACAAAAAATAATCAAGCAATGTAAGAGGGTGGGGGGATAAAAGTTTAGATAGGGTAGTTAGGAAAGACCCTTCTGGGGTGCCACCTGGGCAGAGAACTGAATGAAATGAGAAAGTGAGCTATGAGACTTTCTGGAGGAAAAGCACTCCAAGCAGAGGTAAGGAGCAGCAAGGGGTCAGACTGTGCACGGCATCCTAAGCTATGCTAAAGACTTTGACTATTACTCTGAGCATGATGAGAACACTAGGATGCTGTCAGAGGTAACACATTCTATGACTATTAATTATTAAAGTCTTACCTATTATGCAATATGGTGCGTGCAGAAGATTCCAATAAAGTTAATGGCGTTTGCAGCATTATAACTGGAAGAACTGCTGGTTGTTCAAAAGTATTTCCAAAAAGATCCAAGTACTCGAGAGATAAATTTTTAAATTCACTAGGCAAAAATGGAAGCTTATTTTGAGCTGCTGACAAAAATCGCAGGTTTGTCAGTTGTCCTATCTTGAAAGGAAATCGAATCAATTCATTATCATCAAGTTTTAAATCTGTCAGTTCTCGGAGCTGACAAAACTGCACAGGAAGAGCCTTAATTTTGTTCTTGCTGAGATCCAAACTCCGAAGTGACTTCTGGAGTGTAGACTGACACAAGGCTACACTAAATGACTCCAAGTGATTGTCACTCAGGTTAAGTTCTTGAAGGTGGATGAGGTCTCCAATTGTAGCTGGAAGTTTTTTTATATGGTTGTGACTCAAGTCTAATTTCCTAAGGTTTTTTAAGCAAAGCATACGCATATCAACTCGGACAAGCCCACAATAAGAAGTCTGAAGATGTTCCAGATAATATGGGAAGTTCTTGCTTAGAGGATAGTCCTTTTTGGATGTGATAACCATTTTAGTTTTGAATTTTTCAAATTCTTTAGTCTTCACTGGTGTGAGGGTTGAGAGCGGTGCCTCAACATCACAGCCTCTATGAAGCAGTCTCAAAGCTGAAAGGAAACCCTTTAAACTGCTGGAATTGGCCTGAATAAATAAAAACAAGTTGTAAAATTATAAATTCCATTTTAGATAATGTATGCATGCTAATTTATCCTATAACACATTCTATAAAGAGTTATATATACAAATAATTCAATTATTTATTGAAAATGGCTGTAAAAATAAATTTTTTAATATTCTATTTTGACTAAATTTCAATAGATACAAAAAACTTTAAAAGATTTTTTAACAATTATGATGAGAGACACATTAAGTGAAACTGTTCAAAGGGGGAACGACAAGAATATAACATAAAAGAGCTCGCTCAAGAGTTTGAGCTCTGAGCAACAGCGGTTCGAGTCCCGGCCCGAGCTGAGCTGCCGCTGAGCTGCCAACAGGTGGCAGGATGGCTCAGCTAAAAAAAAAAGAATATAACCTAAGATAGGAAAGCATAAAAAGATTTCACTTAAGACTTGGGTTTAAGATGAACTGATCCAAACCTCTAGTGCCTCAGAGATCAGCTGAGATAGTGCTGTGCACTGCAAAGTGCCCAGGGGTGCCATCTCCAAAGACAAGGAATTATGAAAAGCAATAGCTCTGTCAAAAGCAGAGCCAAATGGCACCGTCAACAGTGCTAGAAAACATTAAAAGCAAGAGAGATGACTTCCAGCTGGACAGAAAAATCACTAAAAGTGATATGTGAACTAAGTCATCAATAAAAATAACTACAACTTGGGAGGCTACTTTAGAAGTTTCCTAAAGTTTACACGTAAAGTGAACTTTTAGCAAGTTTGGGAAACGAAGTATGTGATCCTATTTGATTAATATGTAAGAGCTTTGTAAAGGAGTAAAAGATTAGAAATACAGTATGGGGATAAAATATAGATGAGCTTGACGTCAAGGTAACCCAAATGATCGGGCTGTGCGAAATCACTGAAGAATTTTGAGCATGAGAATTACATAAGAACTAAGTTACTATTTTGGAGGCAGTATACAGAGTAGAATGAGGAAAGTCTGGAGACCTGGGTCAAGTACATCCAGCAGAGGGTATCGACTTACAGGCTTGGGAGTTACACACAATAAAGGCTGAGTTATGGGAATGGAAGGCAGGTATGGCAGAGAACAGGCAGAGGATTGGAATAAAGCGTTTATTTGGGGGATAGAAAAAAGGCTGGCAGAGATAGAGGAAACAAAGGAGTGCCCGAGAAAACAAAAGATAAAACAGGATAATGACCTGTGTCACAGATGCCAAGAAAAGTTTTATTAAGGGAGTGGTCATCAGTGTCAAATTCTACAGAGCTCAGGGCAGGCCAAGTGGTGCGGTGGTTAAGAGTTGGCTTGGGATGCTAGAGGGTCCCGGTTTGGATCCCACATATGGGGGCCAATGACACTGCCCTCTACAGCTAAGATGCTGAACAACANTGGTGCCAACTTGGGCCAGTGAAGCAACGTCCTCCACAACTAGACTGAAGAACAAAAAGGACAGCAACTTGTCTGTTCCCCTTCCCCCAATTCCCCAATTAAAATCTTAAAAAAAAAAAAGCTCCTTCACAGCTAATGATAACATTGATTGATTTTTAATTGCCAGATAAGGAAATTACATGTATTTTTACATCTAATAAATATTTATTGAGACCTATTATGAATCAGGCACTCACTGTTCTAGGCATTTGCAAGTATTGCTATTTAGCAGGTAATTTAGGCATTTGCATGTGTTGTCATTTAGCAGGTAATTTTTAACTCCCAGTGTAGAGTCAATGCCTTAAACCAGTGGTTTTCAAAGTGCAGTCAGTGACCAGCTGCATCAACATCGCCTTAGAACTTGTTCGAATGTAATTTCTTCAGCCTCATTTCACCTTTACTAAGTAAGAATCTCTCAGGGTGGGGGTACAGCAATCTGCTTTAATAAGCACTGTGTTTGATTAAGTATGATTCTGATGCACTCTCCAATTTTGAGGATCACTGTCTTAAAAACAGTAATAAGTCCTTAAGTTACTTTTAGAGCCTTATTATTTATTCAAAGTATGAACTAGTAGCCTCAGACTCACAAGGAAGCTTGTGTGAAATGCAGGCTCTCCACCTCAGACCTCTGAAACAGAATCTGCTAACAAGGCTCTCAGGTGATTTGAAAGTGCATTAAAGTTTAAGAAGCACTGGTGTACATTGTTCTTAATCCTTGCAAGAATCACCTGAGAATTAAAGAAAATACTGGGTCCTACTCTCAGACATTCTGATTTAGTAAGTCTAGGGTGGGAACTAAATATCAGGATTTTTAAAAGCTCTTCAGGTGATTCCAAATGTGAAATAAGTTTGAGAATTACTGCCTTAGAATAAGAGCTCTTAAGCTAGGGATGGTGAAGAGGGATTGGATTGTGTTTCAGGGGGGTCTGTGAGCATTATAAAGTTGTATGCAAAATTCTGTGTGTGTACATTTTTCTAGGCCTGTAACTTTTGTCAGCTGTTTTTATTTTTAAAGAGCCTCTCCCCCATTAAAAATAGTTAATAGGGCCGGCCGAGTGGCGTGATGGTTAAGAACTGGCTTGGGATGCCAGAGGGCCCCGGTTCGGATCCCACATATGAGGGCCAGTGACACTGCCCTCCACAGCTAAGATGCTGAACAANTCGCCTCGGTCCTCTCCATTCAGCACGAGTCCCGGAAGAAGCCCCGCCGCGGCCGCACCGCACAGCACCCCAGCTTCGTTACCTGCGCCTCCAGCGGCCCTGTATCCTCTGCGCTTTCATCCTTACGCGGGCCCCAGACGGCCAAGACCGAGCGACGCAGCCTCACCCCACTCCGGCAGAGTCCGTTCTGACAACCCGCGACTGGCCAGCCAAGCGCCGCGGCCCTTGGGCCCACACCCCTCCGGCCCGCCCCTTGGGCGGTTGGTTGACGCTTCCCCGACGCGTGCGGAGGTGCCCCGCCGTCGCTGCCTGCTGCCTATTGGTCTGTGGCCCTGTCGCTCAAGGCTCAGTTCCTACTTCCGCTTCTCTCCTCCCTTTCCTGTTCGGCGCGAGCGGAGCCAGGCGAGGAGCGTGAACGGTGTGTTTCCCGGTAAGTTAAGGTCCGGACTTTGGCTGTCCCCGCCGGAGCTTCCAGTGCTCAGAATCCGGGGTTGGACTAAGCATTTGTAGGGGAGGGAGGGCGACACCCGCTACCTTGGCTGGGTAGCGTTCAAGAACTGGCTTCTCCCTTTAGGAAAAGGGTTCGCGCATGGCGGCCATTGGGCCGGGAGGCACTTGTTAAGGACACGTCAGCCTTCAGCACGGCTGAGGGGTGACGGTACTTCGCAGGGGAATAGTGAAACCAGACTCCTGCGGTTCTCGGAGAAGGGACGGGGGCGGGGGCGGGCCGTAGCAGTAGCCACCTCATCGCGCACTGAACTAGGCATACTCTTGAGTTAGAACATGGACGAAAGGGTGCGAGGAAGAGTCGAAAGTAAACTCTAGCTTTGGCCCTCTCTTTCTGCGGGAGGAAAGTAAATACCACTACGTTTTTATTTTTGAACAGGCACAGTAAATTAAGCCCCAAAGAACCCACGTTGTATAGGTAATCCTGTGCTGCTGCTCTTGCTTTATTTCTTGTTTTTTTTTGTCTCATTGTATAAATGCTCCGATAACTTAAGCATACCAGAAAGGTGTGCACGTGTGTGCATTTACTCATGGAATATGAGTTCTTGGTGGATTTACACATAACTGATTTGTGTAATGTTATTATTCCTATAAATGTAAAGCACTTTTCAAAATGTTTAACATGTGCTGTACTTTAAATCTTAACCAGTTTTCATCGTGTGGACACCTCTACTGTAAAGATGGTCAATGTGCCAAAAACCCGAAGGACTTACTGTAAGAAGTGTGGAAAGCATCAACCTCACAAAGTGACGCAGTATAAGAAGGGCAAGGATTCCCTGTATGCCCAGGGGAAGAGGCGCTATGATCGGAAGCAGAGTGGCTATGGTGGGCAGACCAAGCCGATTTTCCGGAAAAAGGCCAAAACCACAAAGAAGATTGTGCTGAGGCTTGAATGTGTGGAGCCTAACTGCAGATCCAAGAGGATGCTGGCCATTAAGAGATGCAAGCATTTTGAACTGGGAGGAGATAAGAAGAGAAAGGGCCAAGTGATCCAGTTCTAAGTTTTGCAATTCTTTTGAGAAAAATGTTGAAGCTTTAGAATAATACCTGTATGAAAATAAATGCAGTAATACTGTATCTTTTGTGTTTTTTGAAATATAAATAGAATTGCATATTTAATGTTCCAAATTCAGGAAATACTAGTAAATTATCTAAGTGAATTAAGGTTTATCCTCTTCTCAAATATCTATTAAAATTTAGTTCCACAAGAATTGGAATTTTTTATTTATAAATAAAGACAGGACTCCCACCTCAAATTTTACAACTAGGTTACAGAGATAAATCATACCGCAGGGAAAAGACTGATATTTTACTTTTTTTCTAGTCATTCATAATCATGATTGAGCTGCTGGGAAAGGTCTTAATCAGATTTTGAAAAAGTAAATGAAGACAGTCTACACCTGTGTATATCAGACTGGGTGGGGCAGAGAATCCAAGCTGGATAAAGCTTTGCAAATGTACTGTCAGGAAAGGACCGCTAGCCACACATACCTGTTTAAAATGCAGTTCCTCAGTTATACTAGCTACATTTAGTGCTCAACAGCTACATATGGCTAGTGGCTACACTATTGGGACAACACAGAAACGTCCATGAGTTTTTTTGGACAGCAGTTTTAGAAAGTGGTCTCGAATGTAAAAGTTGACTTCTAACTCCCTAAAGTTCTGAAGCTAGTAAAAAACCACAGTTCTAAGATAGCATGAACTTTATTTTATACTGTAATAAAAGGTGAATGTGGTCTCAACTAATTTAATAACCAAGATGGCTACTAAGTGATGTGTAGGTAGCGTATACAGCATGGACAAGCTGTACAGAGGGACGATTCACATCCCAAGCAGGATGGAGAGTTCGTGACGCTACTCAGAATGGCTCACAGTGTAAAACGTCTAAATTTCTGAAATATTCCAATTGATATTTTCAGATCTCAGCTTACTGTGGGTAACTTAAATGGCAGATATGGGGGGGACTATGTACTCTGGGAAGTAAAATGTAACTTCTTGACTGTTGGGAGGGTTGAAGAGGTAAGCAGTTATGACTGAAAATAGAATGGAAGGTTAATTAAACTCCAATTGAAAAGTGAGCCTAATTATTACCTATGGAAAGCAAAGAAAAACGAGTATTAAAAGGAAAAACTGGGAAAGGGTATGGGTTATGAGAAGAGGGCAAGAAATGCTTTGGTACATGAATTTTAAGTCCGCTATGATAATTACATGGGGATGGTTTGTAGATGAGTAAAGTGAATGCAAAGGCAAAAAATGGGTATAGGATTAATAGATGGTTAGCACGTATTCCCAACATAGACAATTATATCTGCATTTGTAAATGAAGAAAAAACATTTTTCTACAAGAACATAGAAAACATGCACACGTTAAATATGCCACCAAACATCACTTTTTTTTTT